TTTCCTCCATTCTCCTCTCAGGACCTCGGACATGTACACACACATGCGCTTGGCGTGAGTTTTAGGCTACCAGGTTCAGGACTCAAACCATAGTCACTATATGGGAGTCCAGCGATGTAACCATTACACCATCTGCTGGTCCTGATTTTTTGCATTTCATTTTAGACAACATAAAGTTTCTTCAGATGGCTTTTTACAAGTAGAGTTTTAAGATTGAATTAAAGGAAATTGTTGCTCCGCAACAAAATAAGAATGTCAGAACTGTTTAAGACTTTGATTTTATGAAGTCTGTCTAGAACTTTAAGATAAACCCCAGAAATATAAAGTGGTAGAGAAATCAACCATGATTTTTTTTTTTTGAGAAGTTTTTGTTGTAGGGCCTGTGCATTCCCCCAGGAATCGCCCCCCAAGGGGATGGCCACCCCGCAATCCCGTCTCCTCCATTCTCCCCTCGGGATCTTGGGCACGCACGCACACGCGCCCGTCGTGAGTTTTAAGCCACCGGGTCCAGGACGTGAACCACGGTCGACTACGTGAGAGTCCAGCGACATAGCCATTACACCAACTGCTTGTCCCAACATTGATTTTTTTTTTAAACATCTGCGCTGAAAAGTATAAACTGTAATAACTCTTGTGTCTGCGGTTGGTGAAACATCAACCTTATCCACTGACATTTCTGTTAGTACAGATATACTGGTCTCCTCGCAGTATTACATTAACTGAGCATCTTGCTTTATCTTTTTTTCATTTAACATAGTATTGTTCATGAAAAGAATTATCGTAAAATGAATTTTGGTAATTACATAATTCATTGGATGTCTTTTAGTCATTCCCCTCTTTTTTTTTTTTTTTTTTTTTGAGAGTTTTTTGCTATAGGGTGTGTGCACTTAACCAGTCAGAGAGAGAGAGACAGAAAGCGAGAAATCACCCCCCAGGGGAGATGGTCACGCCACAATCCCTTCTCCTCCGTTCTCCTCTTGGGATCTTGGGCACACACACACACGCGCCTGGCGTGAGTTTAAGCCACTGGGTCCGGGACGCGAACCGTGGTTGACTACATGGGAGTCCAGCGACATAGCCATTATGCAAACTGCTGGTTCCAATCATTCCCCTCTTAATTGCATGGAGTAATAAGCATTTATCTAAAAATGAAAAGCATTTACAGCTTTCCTTGTACAGAGTAAACACTAGACTATGTATAATTCATGTTTGGGGTCAAGACGGTAACTTTTGTTTCTTAATTATTAAGGTTGAATGTGCAGAATTTCTGTTATACTGTCTTTTGCCAATTCAGTGTTATGTAATGAAAGGACTGGTTTGGAGGCAAGTGTAGAAGGATTGGGAGTTTTGTTGATTCTTCACACTGAATTATCTGAAGGACAGCACTTAGGATCTTTTTAAATTTTTTAAAGGAAAAAATCAAACTCTGAAATGTATTGTTCTAATAAAAAGTCTAAATGTATAGTATTTGGGCCAGCTCCATAGCACAGTGGTTACCATCCCACAAGACAAACATGGTTCGAATTTCCAGCCTGGTCAGCCGAAACTTGCTAGTCGGATGTGTGGTCTCCTAGATCCAGCGACTGGAGGAGGGGAAGAAGCACAGTGCAGCCGACCCTGGGGAGGGTGCGCCTGTTTCTTCTCTTCCTCTCTCTCTCGCATTCTTGCATACATTGTCATACATAAGGAGAGAAGAAAAGGAAAAAGATGGCATTGGAATCTACGGTAGTCCACAATTGGCTAGCTTATGTAATGAATGGACTGCTTTCACATCGTGTACTGTGAGACAAAATTAAGCTGTGCTTACTAACTTCCTAGAATTGCTTAATTTCATAAATATATTTCCTTCACCTTCTTCACAATGCTAATTGGAATAGGTACATTTTTATGTTTAAGTAAACGTAACACTGTTTGAGAATTCAAGGATATTCGTCATAGTTTCTTTAAAGCATGACATAGGCACAGGCTGGGGCCAGTCAGGAATGAAGTTGGCACATTAACACATTGATTTGTTTTTTTCTACTTAAAATTAGAGTCGTTCTTCTCCCTTCCCCATCTCACAAATCGAATGGGGTGGAAGGGGTAGAGAAGAAATAGGGTGAGAAGAGAGATGTCTAACATCTGGAGAAAGTTCCAGAATGAGGCTAAGCTCTTCGCCCAGGAACAATGTTGAGTAAACTGGAACACGTGTGTTAGTCTTTAAATGGCCTTTCATTTCTGCTTATCTTCCAGCATAAAGATGCCTATCAGGTGATACTGGACGGTGTGAAAGGTGGTACCAAGGAGAAACGGTTAGCAGCTCAGTTCATTCCAAAGTTCTTCAAGCACTTTCCAGAATTGGCAGATTCTGCGATCAACGCACAGTTGGACCTCTGTGAGGATGAAGACGTGTCAGTAAGTTCATGAACAGTGCGTTCCCGTGGCTCTCGGCCGTTGGTGTGAGCGGCTGAAGTGCCACACAGCAGTCCCATCAGTGTGCACAGAGGCGCTGCCTTGGAGAGGGTGCATTCCTTCTGCCTGGTGTGAAAAAGACAAACAATCGCAAAACACTTTGTTTTGCTCGCCTGTTACCCGCTGTTAAGAACAGGTTGTGACACATCCTTTTTATACAATAGATTATAACACATTGAGCATCTGGAAGTAGACCTAATTTTCGATTGATTTACACTTGCCCAAATTGTATATTTAAGATGTTAAGTGTTACATCATGAAATATAGTTTCATTATTCTTTTATATGTTGCATGGCAAAAATATAATTGGCCTGCCTAGTAATTGTATATGATTACTAGAAAAAGAAGTAGTTTTTCCTTGGAACAGAGTGAACCATTAACACTTCTAATTGCTGATAACAGGTTTCTAAGAATTTTCAGCTATTAGCTCTTAGCTTTTCAAATGAAGTAGTGAATCGCCAACATACAAAATGTGTGGGGGTGTGTGTGCATATATATATATAATTTTTTTTTCAGTGTAAAACCTAGTGAGCCAAGATCAGTGTTTGGAATTAAGTACATGGAATATATCCAAAAATGCTGTATTTGGTAGTTAATACTGAAAAATCTAAAATAAACAGTTACTGGGTATAACATTTCTACAGTAGCCATTCTTTTTTTTTTTCT